ACCTCAAAGCAAGTGCTATAGAAGTAGTTGAAAGCAGAACAGTAAAACCTTTTCTTTCCAGCAAGTTGTAAAAAACAAGCTACACCTTTGTATATCAATCCCATTCACTTATTCATGCTATGATTTGAAATATGATTTGGTTCACCTGTGTAGCAAAACACTGGCTATTATACTAAGAGCTGTACTGTAGCATTTTTCATTATTCAGGTACACTTAGAGAAGTAATGAATTAGATAGGATTTTTGTTCATAAGAATCCTTTAGAAGGCTTGTTATTCTATTAAAAAAAGAACAAAACTGGAAAGAATTCTATTATTTTTAGTTTGCAAATGCAGGATCCTTACTCTGGAGCTGCCACTATTCCCTCAATTAGTCTTGTTATAAGCCTTGGATGTTCTCACAGAAGTTGCCACAAGACCCTGGACAGCCAGTGCAGGAGCAGCTGACAGAAGGCACTATAAGATAACCTGATTTGCAGGTGGTTTTTTATAGCTTTTTCTCTCAGGTATAAGATTCAGAAAAGCAATTGTAAGTGTTCTGAAACTCCTTTGTTTGAGTTTATTTCATATTGAATTCTTTCCTGAACTCTTTTATTTGAAATAAGTAACACTGAGGACTGTTAAACATTTTGATTTACAGTTAAGAAGCCCTACACAAACAATACTTACTGTAATATCACTGACATAACTGTATATATGAATGAGCTGATTTGGAATTAAAGGAGAAGACTTTTTTAATTAACTGTTTCTTGTAACTTTTGTCTACTATCACACCCTCTGATTAATTAAAAAACATATCTAAAACATTAATATAGTATTAGTTTCTTCAAGGGTAAAGAAACACAAATATTACATGCAGTCATGGAATTTATATTCTTAAAAAGATGCTGTGAAAATGGTGATACCTAAAGGACCTACAAATATGACTTGAGGACTGAAGTAAATATCTTAGAGCAATGCACAAGTGAACCTGTTTAATCAAGAAGATTAATGGTGATTTGATTACTGTGCCTCTTTGTGGAAAGAAAATACTAGTTAATAGAGGCCCTTCATTTCAATGGAGGAAGGCAGAAAAAGCAATTTTCAATTTTTTTTTTATTCAATAGAGTAAGACCAATTAACTGTTAGCACCAGAAAGCAGTGGAGCCTCTGTGACATCTTTGAAATGTGAACAGCTTTTTTTTTGTTTGGTTTGGTTTCTTCTAAATACTAAGTGCTGAACATGACATGGGGTAAGACCTCTCTAACAGGCACAGAAGATTAAGTTAAATGGTCTTATGAGGCCTCTAGTTTGAAGGCTACAAAAAGATTCCATAATGTTGGAGTTTCACAACTGGTGCTACCTTTCTTGCTGCTGACCTTGCTGCTTTAAACATATTGCTCCCTTGGTGTCCTTCTGTGAAGTATCACATTCCCAACCACTTGCCAAGAATGTAAGCAGTCAACATATGATTCATAACAGCATCTCTTAAAAACAAACACAGGCCTAAACACCATTAAATCTTCCTGAAATGGCTGCCTTTAAGTGAATCAAGATGCTACAGACACATAAGAGATTACCTGAATTTTCTTCTCCCTTTTTGTTCAGAAGCTATTCTGGACATCATTAATTTCATCCTGACAACATCAACCGTAATGGAACAAGCAGTTTAAACAACAATAATATTAGAAAAACCCAAACATATTTTAGAGCTGATAAGAAATTATTTTATAATTTCAATTAACTTCAACTTCTAAACCATTTCTCAAAAGCAGCTGATGTTGAAATACATACTTTAGTGACTGAATATTTCGGTCTTCCATACAGCAATTTACCACAAAGAAACATCAGCCATGGCACATCCATTTCTCTTGACGATCGTGTCATATTTGCTTTCTTTAATTTATTGAGAGGACACAGCAAATCACAGTGATGCATAACTGAAAAATTATAATCCTAAAATAGAGTCATATTATTTTCATGAGACAACAATGAAAATTTGGTAAACAATGAAATTAATTTTTGAGTCAGATTTTCTTAAATTGAATTTCCATATCATTAATTCCCCTTAGTTCTGGGCTAGAAAAGGATGACACAGGAACCTTTTCTTATCCAGTACATAAACAATATGCTTACATTTTTAGGAAACAGTGGAAGGTTACCTGTTGTCATATAAAATATATCATATAGATAGTATCAGGATTAAAACAATGCATACACCAAATCTCAGCTTCACTTTATGGAGCTAATCCTTTGGGAATACCTGGCACCATTCTAAACATAACAGATTTTATATATATATATATATATATGTATATATATATATATATATATATGTATATATATATATATATAATATTCATACATACAGTCATCCATGCATCCTCTTTTTCCTTCAGTGTCAAAGGTTCTCATTAGAGCTTTCCTTTATCCCTTGAAAAAAGATCTAATACAACTAAACCTAGGTGAGCAAACTAAGTAATCCATAGTGTGTTTAAGATGTTCCTTTAACATTTTATGAGCACTACCTGAAATTACAGACTTTATCCTGCAATAGGTTTTATATGTATGCTTAAATGACATACACAAGTAAAGTGAACCATGTCCCCTCACCCTTGCAAGGTTAGCACACATCTCCAATTGTGCAATCCTTATTTAGACAAAACAAATAAGGGTCTAAACTGCAGCAAGAAAGATCTATCAATAAAGGGTTGTGAAACACTACAGCAAGTAAAAAAGGGAATGTAACAAAAATCTCCTATAAGGAGGTTTGAAAAACATACTTAGGCAAATACCTGGTAAGAATAACATCTACAGTACAACATCAAACAAACCTTGCAAAAAGAGCCACAGATTAAATACCTTCACTTCAAATTTGTTTTTTCTTGATTCAATGACAAAGTGCAAAGCCAAATAACAAACCAATCCAAAAGTAAGTCTCCCAGAATTCCAGATCCTTTGTTAACTGTTTAAAAACTAGCTAAAACCCAAAACTTACTCTTCCTGAACCGTGAAGCTGGGATCAGCTAAGAGCATTCTCCATCCAACAGTTAATGCTATCACTAAGCAACACCAGAAGTCTACTTACTATCATGGTTGAGTACACTGTTTTTGAAATACTATATGAAAATATTAAATCTAAAAAATGAGCAAATGAAGCCATTGTTTAATACTTCATCCACTGTAAAACCAGGCAGGTATTTATATGACTCTAAAAAGAGACAATATAACCCAACCCTAAATTCTGTTCTGCTTAACTGCTTTGCAATGTATCTAACATCTAATTATGTATAATACTGTATCACTGCAACATCTAATATGCACCACACATAATCTGATTTATTCATACATTTTAAACAGCAGCTGAGTAAATTTGCCACAAAAATTCCACGCTAATGCTGTAAGGATATATCTGCAGTGTTCAGTATGTATGCCAGTGTTTTATTTAAAAGCAGCTTAAGTCCCCGCATAAAACGGAATTTACCTACAAAGTACTATAAGACTTAATTTAGTCTTATCAGCAAAACACAGAAGAGGAAGCATTCCTCTAATATCTGAAAGGAAAGTACATGAAACAATAGACAGAAATTATATGGCATGGAAAGAGAGAAAAGATGCTTCAAGATCAGAATAAGCAGCTTGAATCTGACATGCTGGGAAAGAGAAACCCAGTGAACTGTCCAAAGACAGTTCTACAACTAAACAGAGTTAAGGGTAACCTAGAAACAGCTTCTGGATTACAAACATGAATCCTATGTAACTGAGAAGAGCACAACCTAGAAGCTCTAAATTAAACATCTTTCCATTCATAATCCAAAAACTATGATTCAAGATATCAAGACCTACTCTTATGTTATTCTGATAAAGTTACTTCTTTGTCACTTAAAAATGGTCTTTAAACCACTGCACACCAAGGAAGAACATTCTTGACATGCCCTTATTCATCCTGTATTTTGCTTCAGTCCCTTAAGCTACTTTGGTAGCTTTACTTGTACTCAGACTCTGACTGGAGCTCAGAACAGACTATAGACCAAATTTCCAAGCTCAAAATTCACCCCTGTGGGTATTGTTTGCAAAGACAAGCAGAATTTGCCTTTCTATATCTGCAAGTTATATCCCAGGTTTTCCTTGCATTTAAGGCAATCTCCAGGCTGAAACTGACACTGTAGTTTAATAACTGCTGCTTATCAGGTGTTTCACTTCAGCTGCCTTACCTGGGTATCTTCTTTGCTATAGAATGTCCCTAGTGGCCAATGACAGTGGTACACAATTCTGGACAAACATATCCACAGGAACACAGCAATTGAAAAAACTAAATTCATTTGTCTTGTCTAAACTTGGCACTTCTTTCTAAAGACAGACAGAATCAACTGAATTCTGGCAATGTCATTCAGAAAACCATGTATTTAACTGAGGTCAACTTAGAACCCACTTTACAGATTCTGTGCTTCTTCCCTTGTATCCTTTGACAGCATCAAATATTGTTTCTGAAGTTACATGGTCACAGTTTCTCATCAGAAAGCTTTTCAACATTAAAGGATTGATACACCCCGCCCCCCACCAACTTCAATGATGAATACCTGTTCTGAGAGAGGCAAATTTGAAAGATTGTTAAGCCTTACTGAATTCCTCAAAACATCAAGGGTAGACATAGTAAGACAGTTTTATCTAACATTCATCCTTGAAAATAATTTGACTGTGAGCAGGCATAATATGAGTACAGATGTCACTTGAGTGGGAGGAGCTAAAGACTTTGCCCTAAGTTAGGTTCTACATAACTTCATATGATTTGTGGCACTGCATGGCTATCACCAAACACTGAATCCAGTCTAGAAACCCCAAACGATGGAAATGAAGCCATAGGGAAGCACATCCTCATTGTGCTTACATTGCAAAACAGTGACACCCACTGGCAGCAACAGTTTAAATGCTTTATTGTTGCAGTCTGAATCTACTTGATAAGAGCTGCTAAGAAGTTTCCCTTCTGAAAAATTAATTACAGTAACAACCATGCAACCTTACCTGTTGAGTCAGCACTACTGCCAGAGTTTTCAGAAACTGCATTACTAAGAGCATCTGGAGTAACTGCAACATAACCCTCTGGAGGAAGATCCACAGTGTAAACTCTTCTTGGAGACATAACTGTAGCATCCTTATCTACAAAAAAGAAAATCCAAAGTATCTGGCTCAATATTGGTCTCACTACAGATTTTCTGAAGTTTTTCCAACTACAGCAATAAGTGATCTTGAAAATCCTTACAGAAGGTCAGCTGAGGAACACAGAAATTATCCTATGACCAAGAGAACTGCATCAAATTTCATTGCATCTACAAATAATCAAACACTCCGTGGGTTAGTTCTTTATATCAGAAGCATTTTTTTTTTCTATTGTATCAGAAAAATAAATCTTCTCCTCTATCTTAAAAAGAAGCTTCCACTTACAGTGATATTTTAAGAGAGACTAAACATTTTTTCTCTATTCAGCCTGAGCACACTATTTCTTTAAGAACTGCTTCACAAAAGATGGAGGGATGGAGGGATGGATGGATTGATGGATATAAGCTTATTAGGAAGTGACAGAAGCAACACTGTGATTTGCCCATTTGCACACTGTTTAGTCACAGCCTATACTTCTCTGAAGGGCAAAGATAAAGGAAGTTTCAAAGTCACACTTGACTAAGCCTCAGCAGTGCCTGCCCCAGAGGACTCAACTCCTCATCCTGCTCTACTTCTTTCTGGGCCAGGAGGGGAAGTGCCAGCTTTCCAACTATTTCACGGCATAGGAAACTATTTGTGTTGATGGTAGCAGTCTGTTTGTGCATGATTTGTTTCCCCTTTGAAAGGTATTTAAAAGTAGCTGTAAGAGCAGCAGTAGAAACCTCATTTGTTCACCAGACAAGAAGTGACAGACACATCTCCGCTCCATTCACACCAAGTCAGACTATTTCTGCACAGAGTAGTGACAACAACAGAGATCAACCACAGTGAGAAAAAACCTTTCCAGAAGGCCAGGATTTCAGGTGTCTCCAGATGTTGCAACATAGTTTTAGATGGCTCAGTGTGAAGTTTTTTTAATTTTGGATTGTTGGGCTTCTTTGGTTGTGTTTGTTGTTGTTTTGTTGGGTTTTTGAACACTCAGCCAGCTATGTAAGTCAGCACAGACACAGCACTAGCCTTCCCTTTTTGGGGGCAATTTGTCTCTTTAAAACACAGAGCTAGCTGTTAAAATGATATACAATAAAAACATTTCTGGCAGGTGGACACAATCAACCTCCTTACACCACAAACTCGTTTGAAGGTCCCAGATGATCCAAGTCGATCACTGAGGTGTAGATATGTGCAACTGTGGTTGGACTAACTCCTAGATATTTAAAATGGGGTTGCATCTGATAGATCCCTAATGAGAATTACTTCTATATTTCTAATGTGGAATTTAACTATGCACTGACATTTCTCAGACAGCCTACTTTAAAAACAAATATTAATTTCTGAGCATTCAAAGTACTTCTGAAAACAACACTACTGTTTTGATCATGAGGGAATAAATTTGTTTTGAAAACACATTAGAATAATATTATCTTTTTCTAGAATTAGCCAGAAAGTTTCCAGTATTGATAATACTTACTTAGAGAAATAATAAAGGGAAAGAAATAAATAACAGAGAACGATGAAGAGCAACTGTGCATTTTGGAAAAAATCCATTAAAAATTAACATGGGATAATTCTTCAGCAGGTCCTTTCCACGTAGATGATGCCAAATCATTGAACTAGAAGTACCTGCATTGACTTTTTTCTTTCCCATTCAGGTTGATTAATGATGAACTGCTAATTAGTGACAGTTTAAAATTATAAGGATGTATAAATGTTTAAGTTATTCCCTTCTGAAGGATTTCAAGTTTCCCTTTTTTTTCCATTTTTATTTAGGTTTTGTAAAACAAAGATGATCAGGAAAACCCTAAACTTAATTTACAATAGCCTTAAAAAATTCAAATCTTTTAATCATATAAGCAGTAACTATATTGAGATAATAACCTTCCAGACAAAATAGTTACACATAACAGAATTTGAGGAACCATCTGTAACAACAATCCTACAAGGAAGAACAGTTACAAATCCTTCTATGGAAATGAATGATGACTCAAGACTATATTTTTTATTTTACCTCTTTAAATGGGAATCTCCAAATTACATATTTATTCACACCAGCTGCATCTTTAAGAAGCTTGCAAGCTCATAAATCAAGAATTAATCTTTGCTAATCTAGTGCAAATGTGTTAAACCAAACTGCTACCATATCTACATCTGGATTTTTGTAGCCTGGGGCCAGAGTCTCCTTGAGCCAAGAAGAGATGTGTCGGTCAAACAAAGTCAAACATTGCTGCAAAGAAAATGGCCGAGCTTATAAAACTGTGACATAAAGAGGGTTTTTTGATAAACAAAATTAACAGATATTAGAGATACTTAAGAATCCTCCCCTTTTACTAGTTAGAAGTAATTAATCCCATTTCTGAAGTTTTATTTTATGGGGGAAAAAAAGCTCCAATAGCTAAAGGTCATTTACAATGCCCCCAAAAGAGTAAACATTTTTCTTTAAGGCAAACCAAGAATACAGAATAAATGCTTTCAAACTCTCTAGCTTCTATTCATGTTCCCCACACAGGGATCCACAGCATGTAACTCAGTGTGGTGGTTTGTGCACAGAGTAGGGACAGGCATCCTACACCACGCCATTACCAACATGACATCACCAAGCACGTTAGTTGCTTGGCCAGCTATGTTATCTCTTACTATCTTACTGCAAACCAGTATCAGATCTTTTTAGAAGGAGCTGAAGGTAAAGCTTCCAGCCATACAGAATTGTCAACTGCCCAGTAAGTCAGTCATCTCAGGTAGCCTCTGCATTTTGTTAAGTTTATTTTTCAGCATCTTTAAACTATCCCCTACTCACAGCTCAGAATGGTGGCACTTAGCACTAGCACAGTTTCCAGGCTGCCGGAACACCAAGCATGGTTAGGCACACCTCAGACACAGCCAGAGCACAGGTTCATAGTCTGGGTCCTCAGCCTGCTGTAAGACTAAACCCTGGACAGAGACTGAATCACTTGGAGGTTCTGTGCTGGGTTGGCCCTGGCTAGCAGCCCAACACCAGATACTCACTCATTCTCCCCTCAGCAGGCTGAGGGTGGGCTGGCTTACAATGGGGTGAACAGGACTAAGAGAGCTCACAGGTCAACAGCAAGGAGACCACAACTACAAAAATCTTTCCTCAATGGCTCCTTTCACTCCCAACTTCACCCCTATTTCTTCTCACTGCAGGTCATACCCAGTTCCTTCAGAGAGAAAGAGCAGTACAAGGAGGTGAGGGTAATGTTTCAAAGTTTTTGCTGTTCCTTACTTTTCCCCCACAGGGGCTTTTCCATGGGCTGCCATCCTTCAGGAATATTTACTCAACAACAGAGTACCTTCTCCTCCTCTGACCCTAGGGTTTCCACTGTTGCCACTCCGTTTAGTTCCTTCCTGTCTTGGGATTGTTTTCTCATTTCTTAAAGAAGTGTCCCCTGGGTGCCCCTGCCTCAGCTGTGGACTCAGCTGTGCCCTGCAGTGGGTGGGCTGGAACTGGCTGTGCCCAGCACAGGGCATCCCCGGCCTCCCCTCAAAGAAGTCCCACTGCCAGTGACTGGACACCAGGACCCTGTAAAGTTTTTCAATCAAGACAAAAACTTTGTCTTACCTGTGAAGGGCTTCTCTGCAACTCAAAAAGCTTTGAAAACTCACTCAAGTTAAGTTCCCACAAGGCAGAACTCATAAGAGCAAACAGAGAATCCAAGTCAAGATAGAAAATCCTGCAGCTCCCCTTCCTCCACCAAATAACTGTAAGTTAGCCCAATCTTACCAAGATTGTGATCTTTTCCACAAAATTACACCTTGGAAATGCCCAGTTATCACTTTTCCAAACAGATGGAAAAAGTTCATCCCCAAAAATAGGTCTTTATAGAAAAGCACAGTGTCCTAGTTCTGGCCAGGACAGTTAATTATGTTTTACAGCAGCCAGGTGCAGTGGCACATGCCTGTAGTCACAAGCTGCTGGGTAGCCTGAGCCCACCTGAGTACTTGATCCAGGAGCTCTGGGCTGCCCTGAGCTGTGCCCAGAGGACATGGCCAACACACCAGTGTTACTCAGTACCACCTTAGGTCACTTCCAAGGGCTCTTGCTTCTAAGAAAGACACTCCTTTCCAGTCACAGGGAATGCCTGTCAGGCAGAAGAGCTGTTTGTCATCGTTTTTCAGTGTCCTGGGCTGGGGTGAACATTTTGCACGTCAATCACCCTCTCTTTGTACATTATTGTTATTAGCATTGTTGCTGTTACTGTTTGTTTTCTTATCTCATTGCTGTTTCCAGTAAACTGTTCTTTTCAGCGATGACCTCTGCCTTTTGTCTCCCAGTGGAGAAGGAGAGGGGAGCAGCTGATGGTTTTCTTTTTTAGTGGGAGTACTAAATTTGGGAGTACCACTCCTAAACCATCCTACACAGGAAATGAGGAATTGATGCTGAATCAAATATGAGATCTGAGTAGTTCAGTGTCATATCCTCTACAAAAGTCATTCTTGGTAGTAGGCATTTTCTGTGCAGTGTTACAGTAGATATGACCAGACAAAAATAAGTCTTGAATGAGGTCTGTTATTTCCCTTAAAAATTTTGTATTAAAGTATGATTTTACTTAGTATGTAAGCTAGAATTTGACCCTATTATAGCTATTCCTCATTTTTATTGCATACAAGTGAGACTATGACCCCAAAACTCTTACAATTCCCAAGGAACATAAAGACCTCGTTATCTGTACACAATAACTTTCCCTTCATTGACTAGCAGAACAAGCATCTATAAAGAAAGGATTCAAATCCTGGGCAAGAGTCGTCTCCTTCAAAAAACCTCATAAACTGAAGTGTACCAAAGGAGGTATCAGTGACTATCTGTACATACCTTCAGTGTCCTCCTGAACTACAGTACAGAAAAATAAATACTTTTCCTGTTGATCAATGTGAACACACCAAAATATCCTTCTATTGCATGAACAATCCCAGTGAACCTAAATACCTACCCACTCCTCAGTGTATACTCATTTTTGTTCAGACAATACCCAAGTTCCTGGACATCA